TTGCAATACAAACTTATAATGCAATACAGTACGTGATGTAGCATTTTTAGTAGCAAATTTAAATTTAGCGGAGTTAAAAAGTTTGGATGGAACTTTTTATAACGTTAGGGTAAAGAATATTTAAAATTGGGAAACACATAATCAATACTTGTTTTGGTTTATTTTTATGGATCTATCATATGCCAGACCTATCATCTGTAATTTTTTAAATAAATTAACATCCTAGTTTGCAAAAAACGTGTTCAAATCGAAACCAATGAAATAGTTCGAATAACTTGAATACGAGGTGTGTTCAGAAAATATCGGGAATGTTCGTTTTTTAAAACAAATATTAATTTATTCGTCTACATTAATGTTGTCGCCTTTAAAATAGTCCCCAATGGATATTATGCACATTAGCCAGCTCTTCTTCCAATACTCGAAACACTTTTAAAACTCGATAGCCTTTCAGCGATGCGCTTTTAATGTCATCTATGCTTGCAAAACGACAGCCTTTTAAGGTTATCTTTATTTTTGGGAATAGGAAAAAGTCAGACAGAGGCATGTCTGGCGAATATGGAGGCTGGGGCATCATTACAGTATTGTTTTTGGCCAAAAATTTTGTTCAAAATTTAACAATTTTGGAACAAATTTTGCTGCCACGCGTTTCATACCCAAAACATTTGAAAAAAATTTCATGGGATGAGCCAATCGATATACCAACATCATCAGCGACTTCTCTGATGGTTTATAACCATTTCTTTCACTTTTTCCATGTTTTTATCGGTTGTTAATGTGCTTGTGCGTTTGGGGCGTTCGTCATCTTCAACGTCTTCACGGCCATCTTGGAAACTCTTATATCACTTGTAAACTCTTGTTTTACTTATAGCAGACTCATTATAGGCCTTTGTTAACATTTCACAGAATTTATTTAATTTTTTAAGCAAAATTGGATACAAATTCTTTGATCCATTTCTTTTTTTAACGAACGAAAATCGCCGAGCTCATAAAACACGTCTAACCTTAGCGGCTGCCACAGACAAAGTAAACAATGAAAACAGTTAAAATTTTTATCATACTTCGGGGGCATGTATACCAACATAATAAAGAAAATTTTATGACAACCGGACCCTCCGAACCCGCGAAATTTAACAATGGGGTAGTTAAATTTTTTCTGACCTATACTTTTTATGGTTTTATTCAAAGCGTTTTGTAATTTTAAACATTTCTGTGAAATCGGAATTTCAATTGAGTTTACCGTTTTCGAGATATTTACAAAAAAAAAACTCCTAATTACGTCACTAGGCTATTGACAACGTTGCCAGCTTTTTCTATGCTTGCCAGTGTGTTTAGTTTAAGATTCTTACGATAGATGGCGCCACGTTATAATATTTTAGTTGAGAAGAAGAAGAATTGATTTTTTGACGTTTCTTTTTTTCGGGTTATGTTTTTTTAAATTTAGATTATTGAAAATCAATGTTATTGTTATGTTATTTGTAATTGATATTAGATAAGTGATTTATTAATAACGGACTCCAAAGCAGAGGAATCTTGTGGAATGGTTGGTTACATTGAACATTGGAGCTTTTAAACAAATAAAGTAAGTACCTATAATTATAATCATATTTTGTCGTAAATGCATTTCATTAGTATAATGCCTAGTTCTTTATATTCTTTTAGATATATCTTGGACTCTAAAATATCAAACAGTAATATGATACCTCGTAATAAGGAAGATAGGTACTTAATGAATTTGGTGACCATCTTTCACTCAACTGACAGTGACAGTATTTGTACATAACCTCTTCGGGTATTTTCTGACATAACCGAATGAAATCATTAACAAGACAACTTGACAACAGGGTAATTTTCAACCAATATAAATCTTAGAATGTTGGTCACATGGCGAGGTTTGTGACGTCATAAAAATTTATATTTTTTGTAAATATCTGGAAAACGGTAAACTCAATTGAAATTCTGATTTCACAGAAATGTTTAATATTACAAAACGCCTTGAATAAAACCATAAAAAGTATAGGTCAGAAAAAATTTAACTACCCCATTCCCGTTATTTTCTGAACACACCTCGTATATCGAATTATTTGTTCAAAAGGACTCACGATGTCTTTTTCTAACAATTTCCTATACCAGCGAATGTTAAACACGATTATTTTTTATTTCCCATCGTAAGGAAAAAGTGCGGTACAACGTAAAGGTATCCATTCTTCTGGAAAAATGCCCTCTATCTTTGTTGAAATTCTCAAACTACAGTGCTAGCAGCAGACGTCGATTTTATCTCGTTGTAACCGCTAGAAGCTAAGGGCCAAATACATTAAAATTTGTAATGTTTCCAATATAAAACACCCCTGTTTTTCTACAGCCGTATATCTTTTGAACATTTCTGCAAATTAAAATTGAGAAAACGAACAAAAATGTAAGATACCTTAAAATGCCCTACACAATACACATTGATATATTTGTTTTTTCTCATCAAATAATTGTTCACCATCAAAATATTATTTTGAATTTTAGTAACACAAATAACTTTTTAAATACAGAAAAATATATTATAATTAAATAATACAATAATATATAACATATATCATAATGTATAACAATATATTATATTGTTAACCTAATTATGACACGTTGCTATAACATGAAATATCAATTCCTTATATTAAGTATTCATTAATTTTACCAATCAATACCAAACAAAATATTAATTGTCGATCAAATGTTTAGTATTTGTTATTTGGTTTCGAGGAAATATGAATATTAAGCAATTTATTTCACCACATCATAAACATTTTATTTCTATATAAAAATAACAAAAATAAATGTTTGTTTATTTTTATTCAGTATGGTCCCAATTATAAATTATAAATATTTTTTTGGTTAAAATAAATTTGTCTATTTACAGAGCAATTATATACTATTATAAAAATCAGATTGGTTAACATGAGTTTGTATTTTGTAAAATTTAAACATAATTTTTTGCAGAAAACTAAAGTTTGTAATTATTTTTACAAAGAAAAATATTTTATCGAAGGTTTTGTAAAGGTAATATGCAATTTTGTAAACATTTTGATAATTTCAAAGGTTACAGATTATTTTGTTAATGTTTAACAAATTATTTCGTTTAAAAAGTACACGTGATTTTAGGAAGTCAATCAAAACATTTCCCACTGACAATACGCATCAACAAGTTCAACTGACTTTAGAGTCTTCAACTTATGTTTCTGGTTACTTTATTTTAATTCGTAACGTATTCGTAACAACTGTCCAGAGTGTTGATTGTTACAAAATTTTAGAATGGTGTGTTATTTAATTGTGTGTATTTTATTTTTGTGTCCATTTATGTAGGTATGTGTTAATTTTTTTGTTTAGAAAATTATTAAATAAAGTAATATTTCTTATCAAAATTCTTTTCATTTAAACCCACACCTACAGTTTTACAACAATATCGATATTATAATTAAAAAAAATGTAATTTAATAAATCAACCAATTTTAACTTTTTATTTGGGTTAGTCAGGTTAAGTACCAAAAATATTAAATAACCTAATTTTATAACTTTTTTTAAAAACTTTTTTATAACCCAAGCATCGGTCTTTAGTTATGTTATATTTAATCCCGGCGCATTCGCCATTTTTTAAACTAGAAGATTTATAAAATAAGTTATTTTATAATAAATATAATATAAATTTTCGTAATGAAGTAAATTTAGTTATATTGCATTATTTTGTTCTTAAAAATATGTAGTATTATTTTGTACAGGCATTTCAGGGACACCTTGTATATCAAAAAATTAAATAAAATAAATTTTAGCTCATTTGAATTAAGATTAAAATATGCTTATTAATAAATTAAATGCATACCTAAAAATCGATTTAAAAATAAGCAAACAGAAATTTTAATACATTTTTATATTTATATTTGGATTCAATTTTTTTTATACAAAGGTAAGTTTTAAATATTTAAACGTGCTTTAAATAGACCAGTCTAGTCACTAGACTAATAAATTATTTAAATAAAAATTATTGTTTTACCTTAATAAATTGTTTCTTCTTTAATATAATAAAAGTCGATTGTAAAAATAGTAATTATATCTTATTACTATATTTTTTAACATAAAAAGTTTTTGATTTTTACGTTTTTTAAATAAAAATAAAAACAAATTTATTCCGTGTTGCTTTCTTCATGTCTTAAAGTTATTTAGTGATTATTGAAGGAAATTGTTTCTTTTTTAATAAAATAAAAGTCGATTGTTATAATATCATTGCAATGATGTGTAGTATCCTTTAAATTTTTCTTTTATTTGAAGTAAGGTTCGTGGGTGGAAAAATCGACCGTATATATATTGGTGCTGCTGTTAATTTTATTTTTTTATACATGGATTATATACTTTCATTATGAAAACAGGTGAGCTTATTTATTTAATTAATATGTGGTTTATTTAGTTGATGGAGATGGATGGAGAATTTTTATTTGTTACCTCAATTAAAACTATATTTAAAGGGTTCTAGTTGTTACCTTTTGTTATTGTTTTGTTATGTTTATAGGAATTGATCTAAATCTAAATTATTTATATATGTATATACAGTATTAAGTTTACTATAACTTTGTTTTTGTTATGTAATCTATTGAGAATGTCCATAGACTAATTCGACTATTTTAACTCATTTTTAGCCTTGAGAAGGAAATAAATATTTTCTAAACGGCAATTTTTCTTAAAAAAAAAGGAAGTTGTTTTTATTTTACGTCCTAAACCCACGAACCTTACTTCAAATAAAAGAATAGTAATTATATTTTATAACTATATTTTTAACATAAAATTTAAATAATAAACAAATCAATGAATTATTCCGTGTTGCTTGTTTCATGTTTTAAAATTTAGTTATTATATGACCACTCATACGGCCATTAGTGTTGTTTGCGATCGCCCAAAATTCAACACACACACACACAACAGAGTTTCATTGAACCACCACCCAACAGAATCGATCTGTGTGGCCCAAGCCGTTGTCGAGAATACGCGTATTGGTCGATACGCTACGTTTCAGGATTCGGCTTTCAGGACGTTCAGTGACTAGTCGCAGGCTGTCCTGAAAACATCGCACCCTCTCTCTCCCTTCTCTCACAGCCAACGTTTCATGAGAGAACTTCTCGTTTCAGTGCGATAATGTGCCAACCTAAAAATCGGCCAGTCTCTTCACCCGCGTCGCAAAGGATTATGTGAATTGCACGTTTTCAGTGGGTGTCCTTAGAAAATAGCCGCAGGATAATAAAGTAAGTTTTAGGCATGAACCGTTTTAGGTATATAGGTTAGGTGTCGAGATTTACCCCCAAGCAGGAACGGCTAAAAGCAACAGCTCTCTTCAACAGTTCCGGAGTGGGTATTGAAAGTTCTAGCATCAATTTAGCCATTTGAAGTTTAGTTTTAAAAAATATAATATTTTTTTATGTTTTTTAAATAGTACGATACGATATTCATTAAAATAATAATTGCACAAAAACACTATGTATGTAGTTTTGCATTTTTGACGTTTTGGTTACAAATTAAATACTTTTTTAAATTTTATTTTTAGTTTAAAAATCTATAATTTATGCGTATTGGCCTTTTTGTATCTAATTTTTTAAATTCTAGTTTTTTATACAGGACGTTTCGAAAATGAAACACGTGATAATATTTTTGACAAGTAGTTTCAAAATCAATGGTTTTAAAATTGATTTTTTTTAATGTCATGATTTTTCTCGAATTTAGTTATAAAATGGGTTGAATTTTAACCGGTTTCCCAATAAACAGTGGAAAAAAATTGCATAGATTCTTAGTAAATATAAATTGTACATATTAAATATAATAAATACACATTTTAGTAGTGATTTACTTGAAAATTGTAAACATTTCAATTCAGTAAAAATTATAAAACAAATAGGTCGTCTAAATTCAAAAAGCATTAAGCGCATTATTAAAAGCGTTAATCAAGAAAGTCTTTACTCAACAGTAAAATACCAAGAAACGTTATTATATTATGTATTATATTTATATTTGTAATATTAATATTAATTATATACGAGGTGTGTTCGGAAAATAACGGGAATTGTTAAATTTCGCGGGTTCGGAGGGTCCGGTTGTCATAAAATTTTCTTTATTATGTTGGCATACTTGCCCCCGAAGTATGATAAAAACTTTAGCTGTTTTCATTGTTTACTTTGTCTGTGGCAGCCGCTAAGCTTAGGTTAGACGTGTTTTATGAGCTCGGCGATTTTTCGTTCGTTAAAAGAAATGGATCAAAGAATTTGTATCCAATTTTGCTCAAAAAATTAAATAAATTCGGTGAAATGTTAACAAAGGCCTATAGTGAGTCTGCTATAAGTAAAACAAGAGTTTACAAGTGGTATAAGAGTTTCCAAAATGGCCGTGAAGACGTTGAAGATGACGAACGCCCCGAACGCACAAGCACATTAACAACCGATAAAAACATGAAAAAAGTGGAAGAATTGGTTATAACCATCAGAGAAGTAGCTGATGATGTTGGTATATCGATTGGCTCATCCCATGATATTTTTTCGAATGTTTTGGGTAAGGAACGCGTGGCAGCAAAATTTGTTCTAAAATTGTTAAATTTTGAACAACATTTTTGGCCAAAAAAATACTGTAATGATGCCCCATCCTCCATATTCGCCAGACATGCCTCTGTCTGACTTTTTCCTATTCCCAAAAATAAAGAGAACCTTAAAGGGCCGTCGTTTTGCAAGCATAGATGACATTAAAAGTGCATCGCTGAAAGAACTAAAGGCTATCCCAAAGATCGAGTTTTAGAGGTGTTTCGAGTATTGGAAGAAGAGCTGGCACCTGTGCATAATATCCAATGGGGACTATTTTAAAGGCGACAACATTAATGTAGACGAATAAATAAATATTTGTTTCAAAAAACGAAAATTCCAGATATTTTCTGAACACTCCTCGTATATAATATTATTTTGCCATGAATTCGTAGGTATATTTTGTCGTTTAAAATGCAGTTTTCCGAGTTTTTTTAGAGGGCTCAAATATAAAAATATTTGATTTTAAGGTTATGTTACAAGAATTATTTTTATTAGAATTCTTTAAAATGTACAAACTTAAATATAAATTATATCAGGTAAAGTCATCATTAATGAATTCTGCATCAACAAATAAAGAATATAACTAAAAAAATAATAAATTATTTGCATCTAAAAACTTTATACTTTACACTAATCAAATCACAATGAATCATTGTCAATGATCATCATCTGGATGGGGAGCGTTTACGGAAGGTTACTTAAATATATTAGAGATTATTAAAAAAGAATAATTAAAATTATTTTTTTAAACTAACATTTTCACATAAAATTGTTTCTAGAGTAAAAATTATTGGATATTAGACAATGTTGTGACTTAATTATTTATTTACCAAACAAAAATGAATAATGAATAGCATATTTATGCTTGGATTTTAAAATACAATTTTTATAGATATACTAAAAATTTATGTTTTAAAAAAATCTATCCTTTTATTATCAGGCCATTAAAAGCATTCTTTTAATTTTATTTAGCAGTAAAAACATGTTTTCTTATTACTCGTATACTATACTATAAAAATATGTCATTCAAAAGCACATTTTAGTATCAAATGCATAAAAGTATTCATAAAAAGGAGTTAAAATCCTTCTTACGAAAGTTATAGCTCTCAGGGGTACTAACAAAATTTCTCTCTTAAAAAGGGTGACTGAATTTGGTTTTTATTTCTTGGGGTTACAATATTTTTAAACCCTTGTCGATATTATTTTGTATTGAGGGTTTTAAAATTTCCGGAAAAATTGAGCCGGCGGAAAAAAACCGTTTTTTCCGGAAAAAAGGAAAAATTGGGATATTTTCAGAAAAATTGACTTTTTATTTTTTTAAATTTTATTTAAAGGGTAATACGAAAATTTACAAAATTTTACGGATAGTATCCGTACACTGATATCAAGAAAAAAGTGAATTTCCGACGCTGATTATGATTATAAAAATAATTCCTTTTATTTTAATTTAGTAAAAATATTCTACCGGGCCGAAAAAAACATATTCGGTGCTATATTAACATAACTTCGATTTATAAAATTATAATTTTGTAATTTAAATTTATAAATCATTCATTATTTTATAGTTAGATATTTTTAATGGAGTCCTTTTTGCAACAAAAAACCCAACAGACAGTATAGCACGTTTACGTTTATTTTCTTAAATTTTATTTAATGTTTAGTTTTATTATTTTTTTGTAATAAAGGATTTTTTTTTTATTTAAAATAATATTAACTTGTTGATTGCCACTTTTTTCATATGTGTATTTCCAAAAAAAATTCAATTTTTCCCAAAAAAACAGTTTTTTCCCCAATTTTTCCGTTTTTTTTCCAACACTTTAAAACCCTAATTGAGACTATAAATAATATTACCTTTTATATTTAAGTTATTACGTATTATGTACTTGGTATAATTAAAATATAGTTTATCTCCGATGGATCCTCGTTAAAATGAGAAAACAAGGAATGGTATCAAGTAATACGTACTTTAATATTACAGTAAACAATTAACAATTAAAACTAAGTAAAATTTTATAATCCTGGAAATAATTCAGTAATGAACTAAACTCTTATTTCCTTAAAAAATATTTTTGAACCCATTATACATAACATAATAATTTAATTATTAGTTTAGTAACTGAAAATTCATAATTTAAAAAAAATATATATAGCACATTCTGCCAATATATATTTTATATATATATTACATGTTGGACATTTGTTTCAAACTACTTTGAGACAAGTTAGACAACGCGTCAATTCCCAAAGCAATTTTCTTCGATTTTAGTCACAATACTCAAACAATAAAATACATCATTTTATTGAATATTTATTTATTTATCATTGGTATATTCTGTATCAAGTTTTATAAGCGCAATTTTAGTTCCGAGTTTTATTATCAATAGGTACGAGCGAAGCTTACGAGCGAGTGTTTAATAAAAAGAGTGCCTAGAGAAGTTTATATTGAGTTGTTATCCAAAAAATTTACACAAACTTTTTTGCAATTTATAATAAAGGAAACTTTAGCCCGTGAACAAAGGTAAAAATATGTAATTCCCAACTTTTTTAATTTAACTTCTAACGTGCGCTTTACGATTTTTATTTAACTGAAACTTTTAAAGTGAAAATCGAAATCAAACAGGTTAGTTATTTGTTCAAGCAAAAGTAAAAAAAATTACTATTTAGGTTAGTCAGTGGCGGTCATAAGGATATTGCCGTTGGTTAAAAAAAAATGGGCCGTCACTGAAAAAATCAAATTTTAAGTTTTATAAGAATAAGATACTAAAATGCGATAAAATATGGGGGGGATTTTATGCTATCTACTCATTTTAAAATTTAAATATCAACTTTTTTTAAGTCGCCTTTAAGAACCTGCAATTTAATTTAATATGACGCCTAGATGAAAATGTTCCCCTTAAGCAAGTTTTCAATTACATTTCATGTCAAATGCACAAGTTTGCGTTCTGAAAGGTTTCAAGCATTTAAGCAAAACACTTTTTTTTTAATTTTTACCGTCGACGTCTCGTTAAATGACAATTAAAAACTGATTTATTTTCCCTTTAAAGTGGATTACTGCAAAATCTTTTAGGATTTAGTTAATCCAGCCACATTAAATATCTTATCTTTTTATATATTACTTATTTTACCAATTTTTACCGGTAAAATATCATTATTCAAAATATTGTAGCAAACAGAATATTTAGAAAATGCATGTACATTGTACATTGTACAACAAAATAACTTATCCCTTATTCACAAAAACAATAAATGTAATTTTTTTTAAATTTAAATTTTTGTACAAGGAAAATAAATAAGTTACTCATGTTTCAGCCTAAAATAGAAATGCGAAGTCCCTGCTTTATTTTAAATATCTTTTTTCTACTCCCACCTTTAAAACGCCCTTTATCGAATATGTGACCTTTTAAATACACATTGACAAGTTGTGGCTTTATGGCGCTTTAGTCACGGGATGACGTTAGCAACAGGTTTTTAGTCACGGGCTGAAGTTAGTTTTAAGTTAGTTGACAGTTGTCATATGTTATACAATCGTTAAAATAAAGTGCCTTTCTTGTAAAATAATACTAAATGTGAAAATTATTTTATTATCTCAATATAAAAATACAAAAATATTAAATAGTTTCTCAACGCCAATATTTGAAAAGTTTATATGACCTTTTAATTTCGCCGGCAGTAAACTATAA